AGTAGCGTTCTGAAGCTCAGGCTAACCATTGAACTCACAGCAATCCTCCTACTTCTGCCTCCTAGAACCGTCGTGAGCCGCTACACCCAGCCTGAAGTGTTTCTGTAGCTTCTTTCTGGCCTTCTGTTCACTGGCTCTAACATGTATTAGCTGAGATCATTTGGGCCTGTTAGGTTTCCTTGCCTTTTTATAAATGGAGCTGCTGTGGTTTTTCTGACTACTGGTGCATTTTAAATTGTACCCAGTTGTATATTTGGGTGGTCTTTTAATATACCGTCATATCAAAGCTGGACAAGGGAACCCAAAAGGGGGAAAAGGGTTCCAGAAGTAGACAAGTCATGGACAGACCCTGCTCCCACTGTTAGGATTCCCACAAGAACATCAAGCTACTCAGACACGACAGAGACCGTCATGCTAGTATTTCCCATTGGTCCCATTACCATGTGAAAGTAAAGACAGGTGCAGCATGGGAAGTATACAAGGGTGAGACACATGTGTGTTAGGTATTACCTGCCAACTTTAACAGCTAATGTGATGGCCAAGAGGAAGTCACTGCCGCACACACCCGGTAACAACATCACCAAGTGTAATAACTGCTAGTGTGGTGGTTAAGGAAAGATAAGGAAAGACATGATAAAATTATAGCTTTTCATTTCCAGGATCAGATATTGGGGATGAGAGATAGACATAGAGAAAATCAGAGACAGATACTTTACCATTCAATCTTGAAAATATGGCTGTAGCATAGGTGTTGGGGTCTCACACACACAACCATGCTGAAGTATGGACAGTGCACACCAGTGACTTCAAGCCCCTTGAGTTTCTTTTTCTGGCAGGAAGACAGACTTGAACTGGAGGCCAGCATACTGGCCTTGTGGTTCAGACAGCATGAAGAGATTGTATGAAAGCAACAGCAACATAGGAGACGGTTTTGGCTGAGTGGTATAGTTCCTGTGCCTGGTGCATCAGCTGCAGCACAGTTCTGTGGAAGCAGAGCTGAAGCTGGGGCAGCAGAGGAAGACTGACTACATTGGAGGTAGAGCTACATCATATTTTTTGTATGAGGAGCTAAGGTAGGAGGAATAAGGAGAGGAAGAGGAGGAAGAAGAGAAGGAAGAGGAGGAGCTAGAGAGAGCAGAGAGGTAGGGGGATGAAGAGCCACACAGGTATGGAGAGCAGTGCGAGTAACAACTTATATTTAGTTAGCTAATTGGGAAACACCTCTAATTGTATGGGTATATTGTTACTGAGCATTACCAAACATATAAAGCCTTTGATTAATATTTAAGCATTAGAGTCTCATTTCCTACGGTGCCCGTGTGGATGATGGCATGGTCTGGGCACAGCCCAGCCTTTCAGAGACAGCGTAGAAGATTGGCAGAGCCATCTCACATGCTGGCATCTCATGGGTGGTAGGGCTGGTGTCTCTGGCTGCCTGAGCCTGAACTGAGCAGTGGCGGTGCCTTAGGCTAGTCAGGAACATGGCAGCTGATTAAGAAAAGCCTGATCGAATGCCCGTTTTAAATGTCTCCCGAAACATATTTTCAGCTGTTTATTGAGATGATCCTGGATAGATAAGTGTAAATGGCACTACTAAGCTGGAGAGACACGTGAGGAAACTGCTTTTGTGTGATTGTGATCGTTTCATGTGTGTAGGCATGCTGAGTGACACAGTATACACACTGCTTACCTCAGATAAGGAAATCTAGATAAGACCAAAGTACAGATACCACCAAAGTCTGTCCTGGTGAACCAGTGAGATTTGTGGGGGCTACATACATGAGTGAGGGGTTAGTTACAGGAGCAGAAATGACTCAGAGACAGCCAACTTCCAGAAGCGATTGAATTCTCTACCTTCCTATGCTTTTAAGGAGCTCCCTCCATGATAGAAGCTCCTTTTGATCTCAAGGAAACTAATGTATATCAATGTACAGTATCAAAACATATCAAATCTTGTGTAATTTGTTGATCTTCAGTAATGCTCAACAGCTTTATTGAGATGGAGTTGAGGTACTCTGCAGGCCCCCTTTTGGCATGCGCAGTGCAATGGTTTTTAGTGTGTCACTGTTTATTTCCAACCACCATTGTGACTTTAGAAAGTTTTATGACTGGAGAAAGAACCTCAAGGTGTTGCTGGCCACTTTCCCTCTGCCCTGTCTTTTAGCAACCAGTTGTCTGCCTTGTGCCTCTGTGGGATTTGGTATCCTCGACATTCATAGAGGTGGGATGAGACAGTGTGCCTGGCTTCCCAAGTTTGGCCAACTATTTTCAAGGATCGCTTATGCTGTAGTGTCTGTAAATGCTTCCTTTTGGTGCCAAATGATGGCTCTCTATAAGAGAGTACCATGCTTTCTTCGTCACTCATCAGCTGATAGATATCGAGATAGTTTCTACTCTAGGCTGTTGTGAATGATCTTGATTCGTTTTTGTTGTTTTGTTTGGTTTTTTGAGACAGGGTTTCCTCTGTGTAATAGTCCTGGCTGTCATGGAACTTGCTATGTAGACCAGGCTAGACTCAAACTCCCAGAGATCCTCCTGCCTCTGCCTTGTGAGTGCTAAGATTAAAGGCATGCACCACCACTGCCCAACATGACCTTGATTCTTCACCACCATGTTCAAGAAAGCAACAACTTCTGCATGTCTCATGTAGCTTTCTTTACTATTTGTGCTTTTGGGTGAACAACATAAAACAAAGGTCCTATATTTTGGGTGATTTTAAGCCCTAAGTCCTAACAGGAAAAAATGTCTAACAAGACATTCCTTCTGAGGCTTAGCTTGCCTTCATACATTCTTTCTCTCCTCACTGTGCATGGGGAAATATTTCCAGTCCAGCTGAGTGAAGTAAGTTGACTTAAGTATGGATTCTGGTTTGTGAGAGATTTGTGGAGATGTTATAGAAACAGGTAAGGGATTTGGGGGGAGGGGAGGGGATGCTCAACAATATTGAATGAAAAGGAGTCCAGCGAGGAGGAAACCACAGGCGTGCAGCACGTCTTCCTACTTAGTACTAGGACGAGCTTTTCCTTTCTCTTTTTTCTTCTTTTTTTGGTTTTTCGAGACAGGGTTTCTCTGTATAGCCCTGGCTGTCCTGGAACTCACTCTGTAGACCAGGCTGGCCTCAAACTCAGAAATTCACCTGCCTCTGCCTCCCAAGTGCTGGGATTAAAGGCGTGCACCACCACCACCCGGCTCTTTTTTCTTCTTTTAAAGGATTACAGTTTTGTCCATTTTGGTTTTATTTTAAAATCATTTTTGTTTGAGTATGATTTATATACATACCATGAAGCTTGCCATTATTAATGTAGTAGTTGGCAAATTTTATGCAGTGTACTCAGAAATCAGTAGTATTTACTTATTCTTGGGAATAAGATGTTTAAGTGTATAAGAATTTTTTTGGTTTTGTTTTTTGTTTTTTTTTTTTAAGTCGGAGTTTCTCTGTGTAGTCTTGGCTATCCTGGAATTCATGTGTGCCACTACTGCCTAAGATGTTTTGTTTTGAATATGTGAAACTTAATAATATATAGTAAAAATATGATATATATATATTTCCTAAACTTCAAATTTTACTTGAACATGCACGCATTTGTATGTGTACACATTGTGTATATACATTCTGCATGCATGCGTGTGTAATTACACATCAGACACCCTCTGCAGATGGAAGTCTTGGCCCCTTTGCCAGTAGAGCTTTTGGAGACTGTTGGCTCCACTGGTTTTGTTTTGTAGGTTTCAGCCACATTGTCTATGGGCCACAGGACTGACTGACTGACTTTAGAGTAGTAAAGTTGAGGTGGCAGAGTGAAATGAAGAGCTAATAAATTTAATTACTGAGCAAATTGCTTTCAGAAAGAACTAAGAATGAGTAAGTAAACATATTAAATGGGCAATTATCCCTTACTGCCTGTTCGTCTCCCCAACCACCCTTATCCTGCCTCGGCTTTCAGCGTGCCCACATGACAGCTACATAGTGAGTGAGAGGCCAGCCTGAGTTGTGTGAGACTCTGTCTCAAAGGAAAAAAAGAAGTAGGCATTCTGTTAACAAGTTAGAAGTCAACCTTCCTCAAAGAAGAAAGCATGTTCCCAGACAGCCAGTAGGCAGAAACACAAAATATACCACAGAAAGTGAAATATCCTTTGAAAAGTGCTTAAGAAGGCAGGAACCCTGACGAAGTAGGAAATTACCTTTAAAATGTAGCATGCCTCTTAATAGTTTACTGTGTCCTGTGGCCAGAGAACATCTTCAGGGACTTCTTTCTGCCTTTATATTTTGACAATTAAATTAATAAGTAATTTGCTGTAGATACACAGAAACTAATTTTGGTTAACATTCCGTGAGGGGGACTGGGAAGCTACGAGCAGCTGAGGTTGTTGTACGATGAGACAGAGCCTAGTTCTTCTTATACTGAACCTATAATTACTACTTAACAGCCTCTGTCAGAGCAATGCACAGCTCGGGAAGAGGAGACAACTCCGCACTTATGTTCTCCACTCTTGATCAGATCTAGAAATGCTCACGCCACCTTTGCAAGCATCTGCGTGCTAACAGATGCTGCAAGCATGATTTAATTCGCTGTGTGCCTTGTGCTTACTTTGACCTGCTAGATTCAGTGGAGCTATAGAAGGAAGTTCTTTGGAAAGGACCATCTTACAGATAAACTCTTTAATGTAGGCCTCATCTTACGACTTTGAGTCCACAGAGGAAGTAAGATCTGTGTATGAGAAATAGCATGCACTTGCCCTGTATTTCCAAAGCCCTGTAGCTGCTTCCAAGTTTGCTGAGGGCTGCAGGTACCCACCAGAAAAGAGGTGAAGGCTGGGATGGGGAGCAGGCAGGCATGGCAGCAGAGAGAAGCAGTGTTTGTTGTGATTCTGTAATTCAAAGCCCCAGTTAATTCTTTGACTTTTTGCATCATGATGACTTGCGGTTTGAGAGCATATTCCTGCCCTGTTAATATCTTGGGACACTCAAAACTTAACGCTTTTCTCTCCCCTCCTGCTAGGTGCTGGATAGTTTACTAGTCCAGTATGGAGTGGTGGAGAGCTGTGAGCAAGGTACCTGTCTTCTGAATTGCTTTTAAATTTATACAGGGAAGAAAGTAGAAAGAAACTAACCAATTCTTTGTTTTTCTCTTCCCTGCAGTGAACACGGACTCAGAAACAGCAGTTGTAAATGTAACCTATTCCAGTAAGGACCAAGCTAGACAGTAAGCAGCCTGAAACTTCTTGTCTATCTGTAATGACTAGGTTAAGTTATTATAGTCACTGAAATTGTGTAGTCCTCTAAATTGAAGATGGGGTGGTGGGTCACAAAAGGAAACTTTATTTTGTATGTTTTGACTCTACAATTAATGTCTTTAAAAATCTGCATTACTATTGAAAATCTGCATAAATTTAAGGTTTGTTCCATTTTTAATTTATCTTTAATACTATTTTCAGAGTGATGTATGAAACTAAACTATAACCTATTTCCACAAAGGGCCTGACTAGTTTTCCGAGTTATGTGATTGGCCTCCTTGTTCTTTGGTGCTTTAGCACTGCATTAAACTAACAAGAGTTAAAGGTTGTCGTTTTCCTCCCTGAAGTTGGTTGTGATTACCCAGTTCACTAGCTGAGCAGACACTGAACCAATGCAGCTTCAACTGGCAGCTTTTTGGATCAACCCATGATAATTTTGCCAACAGTGGGAGAGAAAATAAGGGGCCCACAGAGACTGCCTTTGATAGCTCAGCCCAGACCATGAAAGCAGGGGGGTACAGAGTCCTGGGCAGCCAGGACCGTGACTGGAAGTCTCACGTGCCTCCTGATAGAGGGCTGGAACAGACTGGTCTTTTCTGTGGGAGAGTCGGAAGGACTACCTGGCCATCCCTAAGCCCTAAAGGAGAAATGGGAAATGATCTTTAGCAGTGTGAATTCAGGTTGAACTTGAGGGACAGCCTCCACGTGAAGTGGAGGAGTCCCATACAGATCTTGGAAAGTATCTACTCTGGGTGCTGCGTGTTTTAGGAGACAGTTAGCAGCCCATTGGAGCCCTGTTGCTGGCATAGTCTAGCCAGTTGTTCCTCAGCTGGAGAAAGAGATTTTTAGAAAGACCCCTACCAAGTGGGTGGTCCCTGAGCAAGTGTCCTGGGACTGACTACACATTGAATCTTAGCCAGCAGATTGTCTCTAGGGGGAATGAACTTCAATTAGAAGTAAGCATTGTTCAGCCAGGGGGAGCCTCATCAGAGCCACAGTCTGTAGGGCCACAAACTCAGGTTCCAGGATATCTATCTACCAGATGTCAGAAAGGACTGCAGGAGACAGACCCTACAGAGAAAACCCAAGTTAAGACTTAATTGAGGGGCTGAAGAGATGGTTCAACAGTTAACAGCACTGGCTGGTCTTCTAGAGAACCCAGGTTCAATTCCCAGCACTCACATGGCAGCTCACAACTGTGTAACTCCAGGTCCAGGAGATCCAATACCTTTGCACATACATGCAGGAAAACCACCAATGCATATAACATAAAAGCAAATAAGTCATTTTTAAAAAAAGACTTAATTGAAAAAGGAGACATTATGATAGACACCATTGAAATTAAGAAAATCATTAAAAATTACCTTAAAAAACAAAAAATCCCACATATTCCACTGAGTTGGAAGATCTAGCAGAAGGGGACATTCGTCTATATGCTTATCACCAAACAAAATTAAATTAAGACGACATAAAGATTTTAAGTATGTCTGTAACAGCCAATGAGACTGAAACACTAATAAGAAAGTCCCTTGGCTAAAAGCATTCAGGCTCAGACAGATCCACTGCTGAATTAATTCTGCCATCTGTTTTGAGGAAGACCAGTGCTCCTCAAACTAGTCCATAAATTAGAAAATGTAGGAAAACTACCAAACTCTATCTAGCTATAACTAACCACATACCCAAACTAGATAGACAACAAAAAGAGAAACTTATAGGCAATTCCTCCTGAATATAGATGCAAAATTTCTCAATAAAATATTTGAAAACAATTAAGTAATGCACCAGAAAGATGTTTCACTGTGATTAGCTTGGCTCCTTTCCAAATATGTATTGATGTTTCAGCATGTGCAAATCAATAATTTTATATATAAATGGCCTCAAAGACAGTTCCATTCATGCAGGAAAGGCTTTTAACAGAAATCCAACATATCTTCCTGAGAAAGCCTTGGATATACTAGGACTAGGAGGAGTATCTCAGCCTAATACAGGATATTACATCAGCCTCTCATACTAGACGGAGACCAAGTGCCAGAGCCTCTGGGTTCCCTGCCCGTATTCAGTACAGAGCTTGAAGTCTTTCTTAGAGCATTTGAACGAGAGAGGAAAAAAGGTTACAAATCCAAAAGGAAGCCTGACTGTCCTCCTGGTGGATCTCCTTACCCTCCATATAAAGCTGTAAGACTCCTCCAGAAACACTTAAAGCTGCATAACACCTTGAGCAAAGTAGCAGGACACAAAATATAGCAATAAAAAATAAAAGAAGTCAGGAGCCTTTCTGTATACCAATGACAGGCATACTGAGGAAGAAACCAGGGTATCCTCAGTATCCAATAACTAACTAAATAAACTACCTTTGAATAAACCTAACTAAGGAAGTAAAACCAAACTAAACAAAGCAAGTTAACCAATGACTAGCCCAACTTGAGACCCACCCTGTGGGAGAGGACAGCTGGGCTGCCTTTTCTGGCCTCAGTGGGAAAGATATAATTAGCTTGGGGGGTGGGTCAGGGAGGGGCTCTACTTCTCTGAGGAGAAGGGGGTGGGTAGGGAGAGGAGGGAGCAGGGCTGTGAGTAGGATGTAAAGTGAATAAATAAATTAATAAAAAGGAAAGACAGGCAGATAGAAAAAAAACAAAATAAAACAATAAAGAGTATTTAGCTTTTCTGAAAAAACAAAACAAAAAAGGCCTACAACGAAAAATTTAAAACACTCAAAAGAAATTGAAGACACTAGAAGATGGAACGAGTTATACATTCTTGGACTGGGTAATTGATATTGTGAAGCAAATTGGCTGTACCACTGAGAGAACTCTGTAGGTTTAACTCAGTCTGCGTCATAATCTATGGAACCATAAAGACCTTGGATGAGAAGAGTAATCCCGGACGTGAAGCCCAGGGCTGGAGCTATCACCATGATGCACATAGGCAAGGGCTGTCTGAACAGGGGATCGGTGTTAGCGGTTGACGGTGGAACCCTCCTGAGACGTAAAAGCTGTAACAACAAGGGAACGTTAATCAAGAGAAGAAGCAGTTTACCAAAGTACAGAGTCTTGGCTGGCTCTTCATTTGACAGAGGATTAGTATCTAGATGCATATGTACATTAGATAATGTCTAATATAATGAAACAGACAAACAAAAAACTGAACAAGAAACCAAACAATGCAGTCAATAAATGACCCAGTAAAATAAATGGACTACTCTCCAAAGATGAAATACAGATAGCCAATAAAACGTTCAGCCTTCCTAGTGATGTGATATAAAACCACTGTATTGGAATCCCATCTCTCCCAGTCAGTAGATCAACCACTAAACAAACAAACAAACCAAAAAACCAAGTAACAAAGGTTGGGGAGGATGTGAGCAGAAGGAAAGCCTGCCTTATTGCTGGTGGTTCAGCCGGTGTGTAATCAATATATGGAGGCCTGGCCTAGCTCTACTACTCTTGGGTTATCATCTCCCCAGGACTGCAGATGAGCGTGTCACTTACATGATGTTTATCCCAGCGCTATTCACATAGCTAGGATTGGAGCAGGCTGAGGTATCCAAACCAGAGATGCACACAGAAGGAATGGGGTGTGTATATGCAGTATATTTTTTTTTTTGGGTTTTTTTTTTTTTTTTTCTTTGTTTTTTTGAGACAGGGTTTCTCTGTGTAGCCCTGGATGTCCTGGAACATGCTTTGTAGACCAGGCTGGCTCTGAACTCACAGAGATCCACCTGCCTCTGGGTCCTGAATATTGGGATCAACAGAGTGTGCCACCACATCTGGCACACACAGTGAATTTTTTTAAAGGCGTAAAATGATGAAGTTACATGATTTATAGAAAAATGGATTCAATTAGCCATCATACAAGTGAAGTAAGCTAGTCTGAGAAAGATGAATATGTTATCTTTCACTTCTGGATCCTAGATATTAAATATAAGATTATGTTCGCATATACAGTGTGAAAGTAGAAGTGTGACTGGGACCAAAGGGGGCCAGCAACCACATGTGCAGCCCACACAGTCACATGAAATAATACATCTTCAACACTTTCAAGAAATTAAATTAACACATTCCAAAAGTCTTCTCCTCCTCCTTTTCTTTTTTCCTTCCTTCCTTCCTTCCTTCCTTCCTTCCTTCCTTCCTTCCTTCCTTCCTTCCTTCCTTCCTTCCTTCCTGAAACATTTAGAGTTCAACTAGGTTGTTACCTAAAGGTAGCAGTCATGGGAGTACGAGAAAAGGGACGAGAAGCCAGGGAGGAAGATGGAAATTTGCGTGACTCAAATGGGACTTAGCGTTAGTGATAGTCCGAGTCAGGATGTCTAAGCTGTAGAGATGTGTGGCGCTTCCCTCCTTCCAGCAATGGTGCCAGTGACCTTGGCTCTGTGAGGCAGCCACAAACAAGGCAGAGATGAGGAGTTTGCTTCCTTCTTTCACAGTAACTACTGATGCCTCTGTAAATGTATTTCCCTAAATGCATAAAATGTGATCATAAGGATATATAATGCCATAGTTAGCTAAGTCCAAATTGTAGAAAATTAGTATATACATATATATATATATGTATATATATATATACACACTAATTATGTTGTAATTAGTATATACTAATGATATATAATTTTATAGATATTATATATGTCATTTTATAGATATTATATGCCTATTATAACCATATATAAGTATATATTAATATATATGAGTGTATCTACAGGATAAATTAAAATAGAATTAGAACATTTATTTAAAAATTGATTTGGGGTGTGTGTGTTGGTGGGTGGGGGAGACGAAACGGGGAAAGAGAGAGTGAGCATGCGTCTGTGATCACGTAGCGGTCAGAAAATGACTGTACAGACTCAGTTCTTTGTCGTAGACTATGGAAAGGTCAGTGAAGACCTTTATGTGTGCTCTGGGGTTGAACTTAGGTCATCAGGCTTGCGCAGAAAATGCGTTTACCCACTGAGCATCCTGCTAGCTCCAGACTT